TTATTGGTCATATTTTGTTGTTTTTTCGCATAACATAAATGGTGTAATTGATTTCCTGCTTACGAGATTTTTTTATTGATTGGTAGATTTTCACATATTTTGTTCGCGTACAAAACGACATGTAGTTGATCATCCAAAGGCGAAAACATCTCCAAATCTGAAAATATTATCATTTGCCGAGTAAAAAAAGCATTTCACATACTCGGAATTATGTATACTTACACAAAGTAAGTACGTGAAGCAATTTTTTTAACCCCAGGGTTTACATAAAGCAATATATTATAAACAAAACAAAAAAATACTAGTTCTGAAGAAAACAATACAATGTATACATAATAAATAAAACCTAGTTCGCAAGCCATAAAGCAATAAAACATAAATCTACTAATGGCGACATAAAGCAATAGAACAACATAAATAAAATATAGTTCTAATGACATAGAGCAATACAACATACATAAAAATAGTTCTAATGGCATAAAGCAATACAACATAAATAAAAATAAATTCTGATGACAGAAAGCAATACAACAATTCAAACTTGTTCTGATGATAACATAAATCAAAACCATACATACTTTTGTGTTATGTAAAAACAAGTTATCATCAAGTACTGAATCAAAATCTTGCTAATTATTCCCAATGTAAATTCAAACAGATATATCGTTTTCGTTACTGTTCTTTCATGCCTTCGAGTACGATTACGAAGCTAATCGACACTTTGAATTGTAAATGATAAGCCGTTAAAGAAACATAATAAAATTAATTTCAAAGTTAAAAACTTGGTTTACTTCTTTTGAAAATGCCCTTCTATTACACTATATTTTCCTAGATTATAATTCATCTTCACATATCAAATTCATTTCACAAAAAAAGCAATATATATCTTCAAATGGTCACATTTAAAGTATTTAGGGAAACAATATTTTAAAGGTACTCGCAAAGTACTTTATGTGAAGCATAACAATAAAAATCATCAAAGCTGTTTCCTAGGTAACCAATCCATACACAATCCATACCACCGGATGGCTGGTTAGGCGCCCATTGCTTCAAAATAATAAGAAAACGACATATGAGCCGCGTCACGACAAAACCAACATAATGGGTTTGCGACCAGCATGGATCCAGACCAGCCTGCGCATCCACGCAGTCTGATCAGGATCCATGCTGTTCGCTATTATTTTCTTTACTTGTAAAAGGGTTGGTAAGCGAACAGCATGGAATCTGATCATACTGCGCGGATGCGCAAGCTGGTCTGGAGCCATACTGGTCGCAAACGCACTATGCTGGTTTTGTCCTGACGCGGCTCATATTATATTACGGTTACTGACGGTTACGGACATTATTATGTCCGCCCGCAAAACTGGACACATCGGATTTGCAATAATGGGGTCGCTTGAACGAGACAAGCCTTGTCGTTGACATTTGATCTCCCACAATTATTTTATTTTTAATTTGTCTCTCATCGACGATTTAGAAATGATGTGGAGTAAGTAGTCAGTCACTTGCGGAGAAATTGGTAAATCCGACCGCAGAAATATGATAATTTCAAATATTATGTGTTAAATAGGCGAAGAACCAGCCAAACAAAACCAACAAAACGTGTTATAAACGTGTAATATCTATCATTGGCAATGAAAACACAAATAATTTCTTTCGAGGTTTTCATGACAGTTAAAAAGGCGAAACAACAGGTAGAGGCAACTATTTACGCATACACGTAAATAGCCATTAAAAGATCCTTTTGAAACATGTCTAATGTCTTTGAAAAGTGATTTGGTACATAATAGGTCCGTTATACAAGACATAATAATGTTGATAGTATCAGAATTATGTCTCAATTGGCACTGTTGATAAATGTGAGATATATGATATTGCAAACTGGACAATATATTGATTTTTGTCAAATTACCGCTCAACTTAATCACATAGAATATAATTAACATTTTATTTTAAAATGTTTAAAAAGAATATCAAAAACGGTACATTTCTATTGTTTATTTCAATACTTGAAATACAAAGCAATGATTAAGAAATAATATATCCCAAACTGTGATTTTATTGCTCAATAACATCACTGTTGGGAGTTTGGATGCGGGGAAGTATATATATATAATGATGCGCATTCGAACGACAAACAGTGATGTTATCAAGCAATAAAATCACCGATTTGGATATATTATTTCGATTCTAACACAGCATCAACAAATAAATGCTGCCGCACCTGATATTAAGCTAATTGAGGTTGATTTGTTTCCGTACTTATTGTCATCGCGGCACATTTTTAGTGGTTACGTCACGTGTATAATGTTTACGTCACATGTCCAAATATAGAACGTCAAACAGTGACTTTATAGTATAATAACACACACTTTCGGTTCTTCTATGTATAATAAGGAAAAATGCGGTCGTGTTAGAATGCTCATTTTTTTCACTGTCAAGGTGAGATAAATTAGTAGCATATTTCAAAAGATTGACTATTTTCATGGCGACGGAACAAAAATTGATAAGCATAAAAGTTAAGGTAAAAATATAAAGACTGCCTAAAGTATGCGAAGATAGCCCCTTTGCAAGTACTGATATTTCCTGAAGGATATTCATACATATTTATGTGAGTCACGGCGATAATGGATTACTGAAAAGACTTTTACCATAATTTTGAAAGCAAATATGACAAATTGTAAATGTTTAAAAAAAACTATAAGATACACACCGTGAAACCAGAATCGGCACTTCTGCCATCAACCCATTTGCAATTCGTACCAGAGGGACACGTCATGCCGATCCAGTGGTCAAAGCCTGTAAAAATAATTGCAGTGAACAAAATGTAAGTAGGGACACAAGACGTGGACAAAGATTTGTTTTTATAAATACTGCCAATTTAAATTAAAAGCCATAGAATATTTAACAGCATAAATAATTAATAATATTTCTTGTGTTCGTAAACCAAAATACAGGAGAATACATATTCTATTCTATCATTTATGTTCCAAAGAGCTCCCACTATGACAAGTGACGGTTTTCAAACTATTACCTGATAATATGTGTAGTCAATTAAATTACAGATTATATAAGTAAAAAATGCTTTGGGATCTCAGTTATTCCATTATTCCAAAAGTCATTTCTAACATGCTTCCTCCTATCTACCTACGGTGAAACCTTTTATCTACCTCATAAACAGTCTCCTTAATTGGTCATTACCAACAATTATAGCATTTACAGTAAACATAATGTCGAAATATTGCAAAGGATTTGATTTGTGGGAATTATTTTGAAGGGAAACATGATTATTTATAAAAAAATAAAATTAAAATCTAATTGCAAGGGATGCATTGCTTTGTAAATTGTACATCATACCTTTAATTATTGCTGTACTAGAACAACTTACCGTCTGTTGAGGCCTTTATTAAACTGTTTGAATAACACCAGTGAAAATAATACTGGAATAATAGTTTCATTATAAAGCACATTCACATAACTGACTTCATGTCTGACGTCATAATGCCAGGCAAACAATATACAATTTATAAAAAAATGTATTACTGACCTAGTACTTGAGTTTCAAGAAAATCCAACTCTTCTTGACTTTCAATAATTACAAGTCTCGCAGACATACCATCACAGATTGCCTACAAATACGATACAAATGTCGACTTGTTTACTTAGGAAAAGATTGCATTATAAATCAATAATTAAACATGTAAGTATTTGATCACCAGAGTTGCATTAGTATGACGTTATATGTAATGATGAAATGTTTTTATATGAATGCAGACTACCTGGCATTATTGATCACAGAACGTGTAACAACGCTTAATTCAAACTAGTTCAATTAAATCATGATGCTTTTTGTCACATCGATATTTCACGAAAGAAACGAGCAGTACATGCTTAGGTTTGATAGGCGCAATACATGCGTTACGAATAAAAAAATAAAACAAATAAATGTTGAAAATATTTACCACAGCTTCCGGCTGCGTAACATCAGCTGATCCAAAATAGTAGTTGCTTGCTAAAGGAAAAGAGAAAAATGAAAATTACTTCGTTATGAATAAAGTAGCCTGGAAAATTAAACAAACAAGAGGCGTTTGAACCGAGTGATGCTCCTCGAATAGGTTTTGGACATAGTAATGTATACCTCTTGTAGTGTCAGAAATATGTCAAAGACAAAGTTCAAAGTGTAAAAACAACCCAAATGTTGCACGCAACACGTCGTCTCAATATGGTGATCATTTCTGTGAAATAGTTGTAAAATCCGACTTCAAATAACCAAGTTATGGGCCGGACACGATTTTTCTGCAAGGTCATGCTGTGACCTTGACCTCCAAGGTAGCGACCCAAATGTTGAGCGCGACACGTGATCTCAATATGGTGTTCATTTCTGTGAAATAGTTGTAAAATACGATTTTAAATAACGAAGAAATGGCCCGGACATCATTTTGCTGCAAGGTCATACTGTGACCTTGACCCTCAAGGTAGCGACCCAAATGTTGCGTTCGACACATCGACTCTATATGGTGATCATTTCTGTAAAATAGTTGTAAAATCCGACTTCAAATAACCAAGTTATGGGCCGGACACGATTTTGCTGCAAGGTCATGCTGTGACCGTGACCTTCAAGGTAAGGATCTAAATGTTGCATGCGACACGTCGTCTTAATATGATGATCATTTCTGTGAAATAGTTGTAAAATCCAGCTTAAAATAACAAAGTTATGGACCGGACACGAATTTGGGACGTACGGACGTACGTACGGAAGGAGTGACTGATGGACGAACGGACGGACGTTCCATCATTTTGGCTTTAGGGGCTATTTCTTTGTTATTTTCTTTGTTTTCTTATGGGCTACTCTCCCCTAAACCCTTTGATCACGGAATGAACCTATTGTTCTCTTTTGTTCCCTTTACTGTTATATAGCCCCTAATTCCAGAATGCTCGGACAACCCCGCGACTATATGCTCCTCCGAAATTTTTCGGGGAGCAAAAAAACTTGTCGTTACATATTGATGGCACCGAAGCTTGACGCACTTAGTTTTTCATCTGTGTGTATTTTTTGTGTGTTATTTGTTGTTTTTGTTATTGTTGTTGCTGTTTGTGTTTTAGTTGTATATTGTTTGTGATCAATTAAATAAATTTAACATCATTACCTTAAGAATCAATACAACGTACGAGGGGTGCTCGTAAAGTTCCTAGTCGCCGGTCCTATTTTTTTTATTTATAAAGTATGACATTCATATATATTATAATTACATGTAAGACAAGCTTTGTCTTAACATACATTTTGAATGCTATTTGAATTTTACGAGATATGGTTTCTTTAGCTACCCCAATATGTAAAACACAGTCCAAGCCTATATCCGTTTCAATACACTTTGGTTCTTAATAATGTAACGACGGACAAAACATCACGAACTTTGCGGAAAACGTTACAATGACGTTCAGCAACAATCTGGCGTCATTTCCGGAATGATGTTAATATTTTAAATGAAGTAATAACAACGTTAAAAATAACACGGTGCTCTTACTGACCATGGATTGAAATATCATTGAAAAACAGCGATTTATTTTTCAGTACTTTCAAAGTATTCATATATCACCGAAAGAAACAAGAACTGGTTATTATTAACACAACAACTGAAGACATAAGGCTTTATTTATATATTAATCATGGAATAAACAGTAATATTCTTTGAACTTGATAAATATTCAGGGCAATAACAGAGCCATAACTTTGTGTTAAATAGTAATATCTGGAAATGCCAATGAGATGTATGCATACTACATAACTAATCAAGGGCCATAAATCTGAGTTATAAGTATCTGACCGGAACAAGGCGACTATATGCACATCTCCTCTTAGTATCCCATAAAGTTTCATTGAATTCCAGCCAGTAGTTACAGAAAAGTAGCACAGAAACAATTATTGCTCTGGTTGTATACTGCCTATGTTATCACGGGTCATAACTCTAAGTTAAAATGTCTGACCCAAACAAGGCGACAATATGCGCATCTCCTCTTGGTATTGAAGGTTCCAATAAAGTTTCATTGAATTCCAGGCAGTAGTTGCAGAGAAGTAGCGAGAAAACGAATATTTTTCTATATGGATACTGCATAACTTATCAAGGGACATCACTCTGAGTTAAAGTGTCTGACCCCAACAAGGCAATGATATGCGCATCTTCTCTTGGTATTGAAGGTTCCCATAAAGTTTCATTGAATTCCGGCCAGTAGTTGCAGAGAAGTAGCGCGGTAAAGAGTTTTGCTCCAAATGCATACTGCATAACTAATCAAGAGCCATAACTCTGAGTTTAAGTATCTGACCGGAACAAGGCGACAATTTGCGCATCTCCTCCTGGTATTGAAGGTTCCCATAAAGTTTCGTTGAATTCCAGCCATTAGTTGCAGAGAAGTAGCGCAGAAACAATTTTTCCTCTATATGCATACTGCATAACTAATCAAGGGCCATAACTCTGAGTTAAAGTCTCTGACCGGAACAAGGCAACGATATGCCAATCTCCTCTTGGTATTGAAGATTCCCATAAAGTTTCGTTGAATTCCAGCCAGTAGTTGCAGAGAAGTAGCGCGGAAACGATTTTTACTCAAAATGCACACAGCATAACTAATCAAGGGCCATAACTCTGAGTTAAAGTGTCTGACTAAAACAAGCTGACGATATGCGCATCTCCTCTTGGTATTGAAGGTTCCCATAAAGTTTCGTTGAATTTCAGCCAGTAGTTGCAGAGAAGTAGCGCGGAAACAATTTTTACTCCATATGTATACTGCATAACTAATCAAGGGCCATAACTCTGAGTTAAAGTGTCTGACCGGAACAAGCTGACGATGTGCGCATCTCCTCTTGGTATTGAAGGTTTCGTTGAATTCCGGCCATTAGTTGCAGAGAAGTAGTGCGGAAACGTCTTTTACTCTATATGCATACTACATAACTAATCAAGGGCCATAGGTCTGACCGGAACAAGCTGACGATATGCGCATCTCCTCTTGATATTGATGATTCCCATAAAGTTTCGTTGAATTCCAGCCAGTAGTTGCAGAGAACTACTCCTGAAACGAAATTCGGACGGACGGATGGACGGACGGAAGGACGGACGTTCTAACAGGAGAGTAATTATGTGGCTACTCTATTGTTCTCTTTATTGTTCTTTTTAGCCACACAAAAGAAAATAGCCACATAAAAGCATTACGGAATGAATGACATCAAAGAGAAAGAACAGTTACCTATTGTCCCTCTAGCCACATAATTACTCTCCTGTGAGTGCGGACGGACGGAAGGACGGACGGACAACGCAAAAACTATATCCCCCTCCCGATTCCATCGGCGGGGGATAACAATCGTCCGGGAACTTTACTTAACAATCGTCCGGGAACTTTACGGACACATCTCTTACATGCAAAAGGGTTACTTCAAAATTAATATCAATATTAAGCAGGATTCTTCTATCAAGGTCTGGCTTAACGATAACATAATTAGTGTGTATTTTAAAAAAAAATTGAGATAGTTGTAAAGCAAGCTTCACGTGTGTATTTGTTATAAATAGATTTGCATAATAGTCTTGAAAATAAATGGTATATATTTCAAATATTTCACAAGAATTCATTTCATTTGTTAGTTTAGTAGTGAATTATGAATAATTGAATTAAATTTACGCTATTTCAACTTTTTTTCGTATCGAAAATATCATTTTAAAAAATTTGTCCGGGCGGAATTTAGCCTATTCCGGCCGGATAAATGCTGTCCGGCCGGAAAAATGAAAATTCCGGCCGGACATTTCTCCAGCAAAATATTTTTTTCCAATTGGATTTCTTATTTTTTCTGACTAGTTAAATATGATATTTTATTGAATATTTTTATTTCTGTTTACTATCTGTCTATTTTTACGAAAGTATTTATACAAAAAAAAAATCCCAGTTTGAAAGCTGGAAAAAAATCCGATCGGATTTTTTGTAAAAAATCCGAAATTACATAAAAGTTACTTGAATTAATACCAAATGCTAGTTTTCTTAAAATGTTAACATTTAAGACACTTAAATTAAAAGATTAAGTTTTTTTTCAAATTTGTAGAATCCAATTGGAAATAATTTCCAATATTTTATACTGGAAAAAAATCTTATTGGAATTTTTTCCCGTATTATCTTGCTGGGAAAAAGTCCAATCCTATAAAATATGTTGATTAACAGTACTAAAATAAAACTATATAGTAATTTAACAAATAATTAGTTAAAATAAAATGGACATGTTCAATCTGTGGCTTTTTCTTTTGGTGATTTTTTTATCATTTTTAGACATTGTACTAAAATATTGCAAATGTTCTAGATTATCCTTTTTTCAAATATGTGTCCATAATTGAACAACACAAACATGAAATGAATGCTACATCAATATTATTCTTTTATTAACAGCACTACAAATAATAGTCCTTCATAGAGGCGATTTACTTTTTTATCTCTAATTATATCTTGTCATTTCATTTACAACTTATATGACCACAAAATTATAATTATGTTATTAATATGCAAAAAAACTTAAATAAAAACAAATTCACGATCTACATTCAGTGAACATAGGCCTTTTCCAGCTATTTTGGGAAAAGGCATCTGACATCAATTGAGAAATTTATGGTAATTTTAAAATGTTCTTTGTTGAAAATCAACAATATTCTTAATATTTAAGTCTTTTAGCTGGTGTATGATCATATCAGCTGTCATTTCTATTAACATGTCAAAACAGTTCAATATTTCTCAAAGTTTAATTGACAGTTTCATATTACTATGCACTGTGTCAATCAATATGATAATTATGCCTCAGGATAACAGAACCTGCCATATTTTTCTCAAATAGGAATAAACTTCTCAACATATTTGATCATGTAATCTGTATTAATCTATAGAACTTAACAACTAAATTTTTGATGAATTCTTTTAAAGTAGAGTATTGTATAGAAGTTCATTCTTTTTACTGATCTAAGATTTAAAATAATTCTGTCACTCACCAAA